AAGTCACTGGTCAGATGTCTGGTCTCCATTATTTCCCAAACTTAACATTGGGGGCAATATGCTGACTCTGTAAACTGCCCAGAGAGTGCTGAAAAGCAATATGGGGCAGTAAATAGGTGCTACTGCTATTGTCCAAAGGAGAGATCTTCTAGAAAAACATTTTTTTCATGCCATAATACTTTGGACCCAGCTGCCACATGCCTCAGTAGTAGGTTACCTACTGGATGAGGCTCCATTGCAAAGTGCACAACAAACAGAAAGTGGGACATATTGTCAGTGCTATGAGCAGGTCATGTGGATGAACCTTCAGTCTGTTAAAAGACAACATACTTTTTTTCACCAATATACTTTCTACACTTCAAGCAGTTCTTTCACAGCTGCTTTGTAATAACTCTTCTTCATACTTACTTCTCTAGGTACATTGGAGATTCTCTGTAGAAGCATTTGTTCTCTGATTCCATGTGTGTAAGCCGGGTGAAATCATTAGGATAAACAAAAGAGAGGTAGACCTGTAGAAGGGGAAAACTGGTAAGAAAAGTCACAATAAGATGTCTATCATTCCAGTTTCAATAGAAACTAAGGAAAAAGAAGAACAGATATGTGGACTATATCACTGGGAACAAGCAAAACCTAAAACACGATTATTATACAGGACCATAAATCTTCTAAACTAGGGTGAGAGAAACTGTTTGCATCTCAATGTCTGCGTTGTGATATATTTTTCATCTAGCTTTTATTTTCTTTTATAGAGAAACAAACTTCCATTCCAGGATATTGTGGCTATAGAAACATAGGGATTTATTAAAAGACATTTAGATATGTTTTCAGTACTCAGGCAACAATTACCTTCCCTTTCTCTTCTCTATCCCTTCCCAATTCTCTCTTCCTAAATTCACCTTTCCTCTCTTTTCTGGTTTACTAATGTTAGTGCAGTTCCTATTTAAACATTCTGATCACTGTTGATGCTGTTAAAAGAAATAACAAAAAGACGAGAGATGTGGGCAGGGGAAAAAAAAAAGGTAACAAAGCCCATCAAGACACTTACAAATTGCAGGCCCTGATAGCGGGCAATGGGAAAGTCCTTCACCACATATGTGGGGCTATAGGCACAGGGGACCAGCACATTCTCCACATGGGACGGCTCAATCTTGGGAGCTGAGATAAAGGCAATTAAGAAAGAAGAAATGAGGCCTTTCCAGACCACATGATGTTCCAGGGTCCACACGAACTCAACATAAGTGACCATTCACTCCAAATTGTGATCTTCTTGTCTTGATTTGTCCTAATCTATGACATTCGCCCTTAATTTTTTCAGTTAAGTGCCAAATATTCATCTTTTTGGCACTTTATGAGGAGGGATTTTGCTTTCTGTGGAGAAGCACTTTCTTAGGAGCATCCTTTCTTCCAGCATAAAGTGATCTACCTACCCTCCCGCATTATAAACAATACAGGACCAGCTTTCGTTATTCCCATGCTGAATTACCCCAATATTCCTGGTGAACATCAGGTTAGAGACATCTATCTTGCCCTTTCCAAAGTTCTCAAGATAGTAACACAGAAAGGTGGTCAATTTCCCATACATAAACACTTTTTTAGGAATGTCTGTTTAATGCTTTGCTGCTCACACGGATATTTATTTAGCTCAGTCCCCAGGCGCCAGCTTTTATCGTTCTTCAGACCACAATACAGCTTCCTAGTCTCCAACTGTGTTTCTCTCAGTCAAATTGTTTCTTCTCTCCCACTTACTGAGGAAGAAAATATCCCGAGGGTCAGGCTTCAGCATATCAGCTCCATGTTCATCCCTTTGTGCACCCCAGAGGTAGCTGTCAGCGTGGCTAGCAAGAGACTGAGGCACATGGTCTACCTCATTCATTTTCAGGCTGGATTCATCTGAGGGCAGAAGAAGAGCAAGAAAAAAGGAGTATGACTGGTGAGGGTAAAACTTACATACCCTTGGATATTTGCAGAGCAAAGGCAGTCCACATCTCACATTTATTAGAAATAAACATCGAGCAAGAGGCGTCTTGGAATAGATTCCTAGCATTTTCTCAAAGCCTATTAGCTGCAACCAACCTATACCCCTGACTAGTAATAATTATTGGTCTCTCTTCCTTACCCAGTTCTCTTGTTCTTATTAATGTCATTTTCAGGGGGCATTGTAGTTCTGAGAAGCTGTGAGTTTGCTAGAGCTCAAATGGTTTGCATGCATGTGCACTGTTGTGTTTGTGTGTGTGTGCACACATAAACACACTCACAGCATGTTTAATGTACCATTTATTAGAAATTCTTAGTCCAAAGGCTTGATTTACAGCATATGTTTTGATGGATGTGTCCCTACTTTCTTCGTAAATCTATGCTACTAAATCTGGTGACCTTGTTGCAGATCTTGCTTGGTATTTGGTTCCTATTTTCACCTTAAGGCCCTGCCATTTTTGTTACTGCCTGCATGCCTCCTTTATAGCTTATCAGTTCTTTGCTCTCTGCTTTTTGATATTCTTATGAAAAACTGTAGCCTTTTGCTGTTCATTGATTGATTGACCTTGCTGTACTCTTCTTAAGGTGTTTTGATTTAGACTTAGGCATATGTCACATTTTTATTTTCTGTTGCCCCTGGGGTTTGGATAGGGCTTGTGACCAATGCCCATTTGTTTTCCTAGTAAGCGCTCATTTCCAAACACAACTGGTTGTTTTAAAGGCGATCTCATTCCTTCCAATCTCACTTGAGGGAATTCATCAAAATTACTCAGAGCTAGCCTATATTTTATCTAGGTATAGATAATTTTCACTTTTTATGCAGTAACTCTATTTTTATTCAGCCTTTTTACCAACATAGATCTTTAAAATATGACTGTATATCCTCTTCAAGGCTGGCTGTTATCTAGGTGGGGAAAAAAGAATTTTCCAGTAATATTTGTTAGAAAAAGTGATTTCTTTCTGTTGAGTATGTTTAAGGGTAAGCACAGTCATTATTTTTAGAAGGCTTACAAGGGGAAGGGAACTGTTATAGACCTGCTCTACTAGAGGATGTACTTTGAATGGCTATTATTTGGGCATCTAAAGATTGGCTGAGATTCAATCAGGAGTTATCTGCTGTGCTCTCTTCCAACAGTCCCAATTTATCTATAATTTTCTTTCCAGTTGCCCATAACTTGTCTCTTTCTAAAACAAATGACAATTTATTCTACATCTCCAAACACCTGTTTTAGAGAACTGTCCATCTTTTTAACATCTTTCATCTCCTCTTTCATGTTTAAAAAGTCTTAATACATTCTTTTCAAAAGCTGTCAATTTAATATCCAGGAATTTGGCCAATTAAGTATCAAATGACTCGGCTAACTTATTGCCCAATTCCTCAAATCTTTTCTAACGTACATGTGGTGTGATTCATCTCTCTGCAGGTTGCTCTCCAGCGCGCCCTAACCCTCTCCTCTGCTATTTATGCTGCTTTTCTGGTGGCTGCCATTTTAATACTGTAATCCAGAAGTGAATGTGCCTCAATTATCAGAGAATAATTTGTTTTGTCTTTCTGTGTCCTTAATACTTTAGTTATCTCAGTGGTGGGATTCAAATTTTTTTACTACTGGTTCTATGGGCATGGCTTGGTGGGCGTGGCAGGGGAAGGATATGGTAAAATCTCCAGTCAAAGGTGGTATTTGCTGGTTCTCCGAACTACTCAAAATTTCCGCTACCGGTTCTCCAGAACTGGTCAGAACCTGCTGAATCCACCTCTGAGTTATCTCAATTGGCACTCTGTGGTTATAGTCAACATCATAGTCACCTTATTACTTTTTTCTTTTGTTTTGTAAAATCCACCAATTGTCTATGCTCTGTAATAGTAAACAAAAAAGCATTTCCACAAATGTCCAGTTCATTTGTCTATTTAAATTCCAAATTATTCCAAAGCACATTCACTAAAATAATTAAAAAAATGAATTTCAAAATAACTATCTATTTTATCTGTTTTCAACTTTCTTACGTCCATTTCTTGTTAAGCTTTTCATCAAAAGTCTTTTAAATTGTAAAATCTTTTCCTTTTTAGTCCAGAAAGAATGTTGACTCACCAAGGGGAAGTCTCTTATCCTGCCACTCAGAAAATCTGCCTTTAGCTGTAAATTAGTTACATCTAAGAGTCAGTGGTGGGATTCAATTTTTTTTACTACTGGTTCTGTGGGTGTGGCTTAGTGGGCGTGGAAGGGGAAGGATATTGTAAAATCCCCAGTCAGAGGTGGTATTTGCCGGTTCTCCGAACTACTCAAAATTTCCGCTACCGGTTCTCCAGAACTGGTCAGAACCTGCTGAATACAACCTCTGCTAAGAGTGTTTAAGAAATTGATTCATGTGTCCATATAAGCTGCATTAAGGTTAATTTATGCTTCACCAAAAGAAATCTAACAAAAACCTAATAGAGATACTAAAAAGAAAAAAGACAGAAATGGCCACTGTCTCGTATATATAATTTTGCAGATGATTTGGTGTTGATTTTGAAAGCTCCCTTAAAGGGAATTGAAACATTAATGGGAAAACTAAAATAAATCGGTGCATTAGCAGGATTTAAGATCAAAACCAAAGGTGTAAATGTTAACAAAAGCATGAAAATAGAGATCAAGCAGAATTGATGAATAAAATGGTTTTTAACATTGAGAAGAAAACAAAATATTTGCATATCACTGTGACAAATATGAACTGCATTTGATTTCAAAATAATTATATTGCTAAGATGGGAGAAACTACTGTACAATTGTCATTGCTGGGGAGAGTTTCTGTAATAAAAATGAAAGTCCTGCCTAGAATGATACTTTATTTTATATAATATCTATTTTGAGAACTGATGCACCATTTAAACAGTGGCAAAAGCATATATCTAAATTTATGTGGCGGGGGGGGGGGTGTCTTTACATTAAACATGAGTTAAATATAAGGTATTACAAGATGCAAAGAAAAGAGAAGGATTGAGTTGATCTGATTTGAAGATGTATTTTGTAGCTTAATGTTTCATTTGGATGAAAGAGAAACAGAAGGTTTTTGGAGTTAGAAGGATATAACCAGAGGTTTGGATGGCATGGGTATCTGTGGTATGACAAAGTCAAGGTTAATGTGGATTTTAAAAGTCATTATGTTATATGTGACATATTGAACATATGGAATAGATACAAATCCAGATTGTGCCCAAAACACATTTGTGGCTCTCCACAGGAAGCATTTTATATATGAAAAATCATAGGCAAAGAAAAATGGCTACCTTATCAAGAGATATTATAATTTTATCAAATAAAAATAAAAGCAAGAGAAGAACTGGTGGCATAGTTGCCAATGATTTTCTTATTTTGTTGGAATTAAGAGCATTTAAAGTAGACATAATAATTTGTTTTTGAACATTGGAGAACTCTGTTTGAGATAGAATTGTGTACAAATGATAAACATGCCATTTTTAAAATGTATAATTTACTGAAATTTGAAACGGAAGAACAAATAAAAGAATTTACAGGTAGTCCTTAATTTATGGGTGTTCATTTAATGACAGTTTGAAGTTATGATGGCCTCAAACCACAGTTTAAAAAATCACTAATCTAGCAGATCTTGCATTGACCATAATCTCATTCAGGGTTTGCTCAAAACAATGCTCATCAAGTGAGTGCTTCACATGAATCCTGTTTCCCACCAATGTCATAAAAAGTGACATTATTTATCATCCTTTTCCCTCAAGAGCTCAAGGCAATGTCTATTGTGTCCTCTTCTCCCATTTTTCATTACCACCATGACAACTCTGAGAAGTAGGCTAGGCTGAGAAAGTAGGAGTTGTCCAAAATCACCTAATGAGCTTCCATAGTTGAGGGTGGGTTTGAATTTGGGTCTTAATTTCACATTAGGCAGTCAGCACAGCTGTCCATCAGGAGAAAAGGTAAAGACATATTGCCGTTTCCAAGACCCTCACATGAACCAGGACCATATAATACAGCTGAACATATGATACTGATCACATGTGAGAGAGGTCAGTGCAGGGGAGGCTGGATCCTTAATTGCTCATGTGCTGAGTGTGTTACATGTGCAGTAACATACAGAAGGGTTGTGAAGATACGTCAGTGCCTTTCCTCCATAAGAATCCAAGCAGCTCACAGATCTCCAGAAGGGACCCTATCACCTACTTCTTAATTGGCTTCTCATCTGTCCCAAGACAGTTTTTTGCTCTTTCTATTGGAATTTGCTAGCTTCAGTTATAGATGGGATATCGCCTGTGTTTTTGTTTATTGTCTGTACCCTTTGATGGTTTTTAGACTTACAGTATACTATTTACTTTGTCCCTTGCCCTATTTTGTGAATCCCAGAATAGGACCTGGCCTGCAGAAGATAGAGTGGAAAATTTCTTTTCCTGAACTTCCTTTAAGTAGTATATGTTAGAATATACATTTTTTGGGAGGTGGGGACAATTATTTCTCTCCTACATGATCTCCTAGAAAAGAGCAGTATTTTTTCAGTACTACAAACCTAAAGCTTCAATTTTCTGGATTCTGGTCTATTTCAGCCAATAAATAAGCCAAGCATCTTTTAAAATGGGGGGGGGGGGTTGTAGTAGGAAGGGAAGAATGATATAGTAGTATACACCAAGGATGATAATTGCACCATGTATCACACTGCTGAAAGAGCAATAGCTGCCTCAGCTGAGGGAGAGAAATGTCAATATTAGTTTTCTTTCCCTGGGTCAGCATGAGATCCTGGCAAGTGTGCTGGAAGCTTACCTAAGAGACACAATCCAGGATTCTTCATAATAACAGATTTTTCCCCCTGTACATTTCTACATGAGAGCAATCAATACCTACCATTGCTATGCCTCTTGCCTACCTCTTGCTTTAAAATAATTTAACCCAAAGCACAAAATATCAGGTCAAACAAGT